TTTTGTCTGTGTTTTCTTTTTTCTTTTGCCCTACCCAGGTACGTGGGGAGTTTCTTGCCTTTTGGGAGGCCTGAGGTCTTCTGCCAGCGTTCAGTAGGTGTCCTGTAGTTGTTCCACGTGTAGATGTATTTCTGGTGTATCTGTGGGGAGGAAGGTGATCTCTGCATCTTACTCTTCCGCCATCTTCCCCTCGTCCCTCTGTAAGGTTTGATTGAGTGCTTTGGGTTTCTACCCTCTGTTTTGCAGTTTCCCTGTAAGACCTTCTGTGGTCAGTGACTCAGCCATGCTAATAGCTCCCAGGTCTACATCTCTGCCTCTCTCTGGAGTCCCCAGCATGGAATGTAGACGCTCAGCCTCTCTGGCGTTCCCAGCACGGCGTGTAGACGCTCAGTCTCTCTGGAGTCCCCAGCATGGCGTGTAGACACTCGGCCTCTCTGGAGTCCCCAGTACGGCGTGTAGACACTCAGCCTCTCTGGAGTCCCTAGCACGGCATGCAGACGCTCACACACAGCAGGCCTCCCACTCCTGCTCACCTTCCCGGGCTGCCTCTCTCCGCTCATGATATCTGTACCTGCCCTGATGCTCAAATTAGAAGCTTTGCATCAGCCTTGATCTCTCCCTTATTTCGCTTATCTGGCCAATTCACAGTTTCTCCCTCAGAAAGGTCTCTCTTTTCCTCACTTGCCTAGCTCTGTCATTGCCTCTCATTTGGACTTTTATGGCACCTAATAATATGATTAAAGTTTATTGACCACAGTACAGACTTGATATGCATTTAAATATACAGCAGCCTATGAGGAAGATGTTACTAATGTTATTGTTATTATCATTTTACAGATGAAGAGAAAACAAGTTTCAGAGAAATTAAGCAGTTTCTTAAATTCTCAAAGCTGCTGTTGGATTTGAACTTAGATCTGATTTCAGAGCCTCCACCATCTTTGAAATCTTCCTAATTGCTGCAAAATTTCCCTTCTTGAGCCCTTGTTTCAATCCACACTGCCTTCTCCTTTCCTCTGAATGATCTGTTAATCACTCTTCAAGAATCATCTTACACAGCATCTCTTCTCTTTCCTAGTTCTCCAGGGTAGAAGTAGATGCTTTTGCTGGGATTCCACAGCACTCTGTACACGCATCAACCTTGGCCATTATTATTTTGTATTTTAATTATCAGCCTACACATCCTTGAGGGAAGAAACCTCTAATTAATATTCGTATTTACAATATTTCTACTCAGTAGGAGCTGGGTAGATTTTTATTAAAGGAATGTTTCTATAAATACTGTTCATTGGGGAATTTAATACTTGCTCTTTTATTTTTATAGGAATGCTATTCATTTTTTTCTACTAAAATGTAAACTTAGCAGTTGGGAGTAACTGCTTTTTTAAAAAAATCATTCAACATCTGTTTATTCAGTGGGAAATAGTACTTCAAAATAGCCTGAACAGGCACAGTTTTTTTTTTTTTCCTGTATACTTTATTTTATTATTATTTTTATTGAGGTATAGTTGATTTACTATATTATATTAGTTTTCAGGTGTACAACATAGGGATTCTAAATTTTTATAGATTATACTCCATTTGAAGTTATCTTAAAATATTGGCAGTATTCTCTGTGCTGTTTAATATATCCTTATAGCTTATTATTTATATATAGTAGTTTGTACCTCTTAATACTTGCTTTTTAAACTAACCCCTCCTTCCCCTTTTGGTTTTCTATTATCAACATAGGGAGATTTTAATAAGAAATCCATTTCCGCTTGTCCCCCAAGTTCCCACTCCTGTTTCGTATGTGGTGACCTCTATTTACTCTGATATCTTTGTTCCCTCAGCCTCTTTTTCTGTGCCACCCCATATGCCTGTATTCTATTTTCCCCAAGTTTTGCTTTCTGCTAAGCAACAGGTAATGTGTCAGCACTAGTGTTTCACTGCTCACTTAAAGCTTGAGTTCAGATGCTGTTTTTCATCTTTTATGACTATGATGGAAATTTCAGGTCCTAGATATGGGAAAGATACTTTGGGGCAGTAGGATCTTATGATTTTCTTCAAATCACACCCCATTATGTCTTTGAAGAAAGCTTCATACATATCTTTTCTGTAATCATCCTTCCAAAATTGGTAAAAAGTCCTTTGCAGTTGCCAAAACTGTGGTGTGACTGATAAGTTATAAACAGGAAAGTGTTCGTCTCTGCCAAGATGCCAAGATGCTTGAATCTGAATTGTACAAATCTCTGTCTCTTTTTGGAGAAGATAAGACTTTATTTTTATGAGGAAACAATGAAGGCTTATCTTGTACATCTCCAGAATTTGAAAATATATATCTAAAAATGGGGAAAAAATCATTAATATATCCAGGTTCTGATATCAGAACTCTAACAATATGTTTTTAATTTATTAATCTGAAAATACAAGGATAAAACAAATATCATGTAAAAATGTGTTAATGTGAATATATCCTTGTAGCCATTTGATAAATACAATCAATTTTTGAATCGTTTTAATAAAATGAAATATTTATTAATTTTAAAATCCTAAGAAAAACAAACAGGATTTAAGATAGTAAGTTAAAATAATCTGAAAACTAATTTAACTGCCAGTCCCATGAAACACATACTTCCACATAGAGTTCTTGAACAGATAGCACTTTAAGTTTAAATTCTCTGTTTCTAAGTAAAACAATTTAGAACTCCCTCAATTGGTGTTAAACCCAGAATAGTTCATTATCCACTTTCCCATGAAAACATCAATTTTTGGAAGAATTCCTCTTCAAAATGAGTCCAAGCTTGAAGGAAGTGATGAATACATTAGTAATGGATGTAAAAGCACACTGCATGTGGCTCATTCCATCAGCTAGCCCCAGTTCTTTATTTTATATGTGAAGAAACTGAGGCCTATTGGTACTAGAGGTACAGAGAGAGACATGAGGTGCGTGAATAGGCGCTAATCCAGTTGCTTGGTCCAAAGCTTTTTGTTTCTTGTCACCATGTGGCACCTTGCTTCCCCAACATGAGGTGAACGTGCTCTGAGGGCTGGGCAGAGGGACTGTATTTGGAAGGTAAAATCAGTACATAAGCAAAACTGAAAATTCTAGACTTATTCTGTGTTGGAGTGCAAGGGGAAAAATAAGTAGCAAAGGATGTTGGTTATTCCATTTATTAGTTACATCAGTGTTTGGCTGACTTAGTATAATTTGCGTGAGAAGGGTTCAAGGTGTCCTGAAACCATGCGTCTCGAGGCCATGGATGGATGACCTTTCTGACTTGCCCATGCATATACTCATTTGCTGATGGAGTGAGACGAGGAGACTATTTGAAACGCGTGGAAACATTTCTTTTCTGGCATATTGTGCCTAGGGATCATTATCAAGTTCAGATATCTAAGACTTAAACCTGTGTTCTTATACTGGTATTTTTAAAAGAAATAAATTCAGTGGATTAGATAAAATTGGACTACTGTGGTAACACCTTCTACAAGTAACTAGAGCCCCCATTAATCAGCTTTATACTTTTTAACAAAAAATGTTCTCTTGCACAGCTAATTCTCTTTCCCAGAAATGAACCCCTGAATACTGATTCTATATTATAATAATTCTTTGTTTAATGAGAATAATTCCAGTTAATATTTATCTTCATGTGATACAGCTTAGGTTTATAGGCATTTTAAAATAGTAATGCTATTTCAGTCAAACTTGAGACCTGAGAAACACTTCTCATACTAAAACTAAAAATCTTGATCAGAAATTTCCTACAGTTAATTCTTTGGAAAAATGATATTAAATGTTTTAAGTATCTTATTGTTTATCAAAAGTAAAGAATATTTATCCATTACTAAGGAACATTTATCCTGTGCTATGTGCTCAGCAAAGCAAGTGAAACAGACCTGAGTTCTTTCCTCTGGAATATTCTGACAGATGCTAAGAAGCTTCTGTGACAGGGAAGATAAAAACAGTCTTTTACCAGAAAAACTACTTTATCACGTCTTTGAAAAAAATCACGTATTTATAAAGTTTTCAGTTTATATTTGGCATTATTGATTATCAAGACCATCATGATGGATTCAAATTGTGAGGAGAAAAACCTCAAAATATAGGAACCAAATTTTCTACCCTATAGCAATATAAGTATGAAAATAAATGAGGAAATTCATACATTTAAATAGCTTAGACTCATTTGGAATTTTTCACATGTAGAAGATATATGCAATATAGAAGTTCAGTTATGAAAGTAATAGTAGGAAGATTTTATAGGTAAAATATCTCTCAAGAACACATCTTTTTATATGACTTATGATATAATACAATTGATTATACTTTGAGTACCAAATCTGTCTACTAATTAAAGTTATTACGAGCACCCTAAAGAGTACATTTACACTAGAGACAAAACTCATATAGCTACAGTTTTTAAAGAACTGATCTGTGCATTATGACAGAAAAATTTCATTAATAAGAAAACATCCATCTAGTTGGATTTCTACAGTAAAAACTTTATCGCACTGTTGTCATGAAGAAAGACCTTCCTTCTCCTTGCATATTAAGTGAGCTATGTAGGTATGCCATAAATTGTATTATTCATGTTATAAGAGTTCTGTAGTCCATCCTTTCAGGATCTGTTTCTCTTTGAGAACTAGAAATCAATTTATAGTTTGATTTCTTCTATTTCATTCCTACTCCATTTCTGATTTTTTTTTTAATTTATGTATTTATTTATTTTTGGCTGCATTGGGTCTTTGTTGCTGCACGCGGGCTTTCTCTAGTTGCGGCAAGTGGGGGCTACTCTTTGTTGTGGTGCGCAGGCTTCTCATTGCGGTGGCTTCTCCTGTTGCAGAGCTTAGGCTCTAGGCGCGCGGACTTCAGTAGTTGTGGCTCATGGGGTCTAGAGTGCAGGCTCAGTAGTTGTGGCGCACGGGCTTAGTTGCTCCGCAGCATGTGGGATCTTCCCGGCCCAGGGCTCAAACCCGTGTCCCCTGCATTGGCAAGTGGATTCTTCTTAACCACTGCGCCACCAGGGAAGCCCAGATTTTTTTTTATATATATATATTAAAAGCACAAAGCCAGGACTTTCAGTATACCAGCTTCAATTTAAACTTTTGAGTGGTGGTCAAGAATTGTTGTTGGGTTGAATAGTCTTCAGAAGTTTCTGGTACATTTCTGACTTTAGAAACCTGGGATAGGAATCCCTTTCCATGTGCATATGCACTATTTTTTGAGCCTCTTCAAAACACGTTTGAGTGGGTTCTTGAATATTCTTGATGATGGTTTCTCTTGTCGAACTGTCAATGTTAATCTGAAAAGTGAAATTACATGTAGAACATAAGTAGGCATAATTGAAGTTGAAAATGGAATGGAAAGGTTTAATTTTTTTCCTCCTCTCCTTTTCAGTGGAATAGGGTAATTTTGTTTGCAGTTTCATTGGTATCTTAAAAGACTGATAAGAGATAAGCTACTTGCTTTTGAAAAAGTAAACATCCAACTCCACATCCCAGATTTAAAAAAAACACGCCCCCCCCCCCCCCCCCCGCCCCCTGCCACAACAAAACATGAGGGCCAAGACCAGGGAAATACCAGAAACCGTTGCTTCCTTAGGCAGGTGCAAGTGGTGTGTTAGTGGAGTCTGCAAGCAAGGAGTTTATGAGATGGAGGCCTCTTTTAAAGAAAAGGGAAATCGGGGCTATTTTGAAGTTTATCTTCCTTAAACAGTCATGAACGTTGATTTAACTGACTATGCCCTGAAATGGGAAGAAAGTGAAGAGAAGTGGAGAAATAGAGGAGAGAAGTGGTTATTCAATAAACCAAGTATTTTCCAGACAAGAGTTTTGAGGAACAAGTCGGTAATGTTGGACTCTCCTGAAAGACAGGAATCTCATGAACCACCCTCTACCCTTATCCTCTTGACCAGAACTTTCATTCCTCGTTTTCTCTCCACCAGCAGGAGTCTCAGGGTGTCCGTTTCATTCATGACTCTTTATTTCCTTCCTCCATTTGTAAGTGATTGGCAGGCATGTTGGTGTGAATGTTCGCTGGGTTTGCTGGTTTTAAACTAAGGTGAGCGGTGATGGCACACTTTGCCCACCCCCACTGGGGAAGTCACCACGTCTATGCTATCTGTTGTTTCTTGTAGCAGAGTCAATTTTTACAAGGACTTCTTTTTTTTTTTTTTCACTTTCCTGGGAATTAAGATAACTTAATGAGGAGAGGCTTTGGAGCCAGACAGGCCTAACTTTCCTACTTAACTGCTGTGTGACACTGAAGAAGTTAAATTAACTTCTCAGATTCTCAGGTTTCTTACCTGTAAAATAAGGTTAACAATACTGACTACATAGCAATATAGGAGGTACTGGATGTAAAGTGCTGGCACATATGTGTGCTTGACAGACACTAACACTTTCCTGGGGTGTATTGATTTCCGGTTGCCGGCATTGTCAGGTGTGGTTACCTCTCTAGGGGACTGTGGCTGGATGTAAGTCCTATAAAGCTTCTTGGCCCTAGAAGTTCTGCTCCTCTGTGAGGCAACTTTCTTATAGGTTTCACACGCCATCCAGAATTTAATATTTTCATCACTGTGCTCCATTTTTAAGTATGCTGCATAGACTACCGGACCATCTAAAAGTAGAGGAGAAATCATTTTATTTTCCTGGGTCAGCATCCTAAAAATATCTGAACAATATGTAATGCAGTTTAAAACTAACATCTGAATCAGAGCTCCCAAATTATTTAACAAGTGAGTATTATATAATGATACACACACACACACACACACACACACACACACACACACACACACACACACACACACACACCCTACATCTTAGTTACATCTATGCATCTGAAGCATGTTTTGACAGTGCCAGTTAGTGGTGGGATCATTCCTTCATTCCTTTATTCCGTGTTACTCAGAGAAAAATGCCCACTAGTGTGGCTGGGTCTAGGATGGAATAGGTCACAAGGACCCAGAAACAGGACTTAAATGGCCTCAGTGGGAGAGAGCTCTGATCATGAACCTGACATGAAAAATCTAAAACCTCAATACAACCTGGAGGGTAAGAGCAAGGTTTAGAATCTAAACAGGCAGGTCAGGGTTGAAAGGAAAATGTCCAGACCATGTAGAAGTGATAAACTGATGAGGCTGTGTAGCCTGGGGTGTTTCTCATATCCAGTTAGAGCAGGAGAACATGGATAATGAACAATTCAACTTCATATCCGTGGTTTATGGTTCACACCAGAAATGAAGGATGAGGCAGGGAATGGAATTCAGATAGGGTGTTGGAAACTACCTCAAAATCCAGAACAGGACAGTGAGGATGTGCAGAACAACCATTAAGTGACACTTGATGCCAGGATCAATGGGCATCCTCAGCTCTGGTCTTTTCTGAAGTGGGAAGATAGGGGCAAACGTGTGGGAGGAACTTTCCCAATTGAGCCACTATCTTGTGGGCACCAGTGTTTGAAGAAGAGGGTTAAGTGAGTTTTGACAAATCTAACACATTAGTCAGAATCTTTGGGGGGATCAAGTATTCTCAAGATTCAAGATGAACCCTCTGAGAAAAATATTAAACTTCTTTTGGTGACTAGGAAGTCTCTTGGCATATCTGAGAAATTGAATTGCTAAATGATAAGGCAATGTAACTTTCCAATGACAGTGACAGAAATGTGTATGTAGGCGCATTGAACACGTGATGAAACATAGGATTTTGACTAACAGTATCTTAGTATTGTTAACTTTTACAAGAAATATTAGTAATCAGAGGGAATAGCAATGGTGAGTAAAATCATATTTTCCTAGATCTTCACATTAGAGATTGGATCTAATGAGTTTCCTAGCACCAGAAAGCCAGGCTCCTTGACTCCTTGGCTTCTACTGCTCTGTCAGCACTGATACAAAAATAAAGACAAAAATTAAGGTATTCTGTATTCAAGAAAAAAACTCAAACAGAGGCAGATTCTAATAACACCTTCTAAGGAGGCATTAGGGTTGGGGAAAGCTGGTGATCTGCAAGAAATGGGCTATCCTAGGAAGACACAGAATTAGAGATTGGTTCATTAGTATCATGGGAGCAAGTGTAGCCTTCACGACATTGGGTGGGAGATGGTTCAAAAGAAGCATTGTTTGAGTTGAGAGGACAGACGAGATGGGGGTAGGGCTTGTATAAAAATGTAACAAGGAAAGGATATGGATTTGGTATTTCTACCCAACGGGGGAATATATTTTACCTTACACTTAAAACAAGAAGTTTGTTTTCACAACAATTAACTTTAAGATGTGCCTCACCTCACCACAGACACAGAAAGCTGGGGTCAGAGAATACAGATGTAGCAATTGGTATTCCTGTTAGAGAAACAGCTGAATGGGTAGGCAAGCCAAAAAACAAAACAAATCAAAACAGAAAGCCATTTCTGGCACAACAAGTGAAGCTGGAAGCTAGTAATTTGCCGTGTATATTGAAAGAATTAGAAGCCTATTTAAGAAAATAAAAAGCAATTTTTTATACTTTGTACTTAGAGAAATTTTGACTGAGTGCTTCATTAGGAACAGAAAATAAGGATCCTAAAATAAATGAGTTATGGAATAGGAAAAAAAACAAGCTACCAGATGACATCTACAGATCCTGGAATGAGACTTAGCCACCAGGCTGCTTGTGTGGGTTAAGCGGATGGGGTGGGGGGCAGGTGGGGGGATAATTTGGAAACCAGTGTTAGATTACATGTTATAGTATTCCGAATTTGTGTTTATATTTATGTTTAGCTTAACTGTATAGTAAAATGTTTAGGGATTCTTATTCTAGAAGCTGCCTGCATCTGTATCTGCCTTTTTCACCTTCCCTCCTGATTGAGTGGAGGAAGGGTCTTCTGGGGCTGGCCTAATGGTTCAACAGTTCTCAACATTCCCAAGTCCTCTGCTGAGGAGCCCATCCGTGTGGTGCCACATATATTTTTTAACTCTTTTTCTTTTTTTTTTGCGGTACTCGGGCCTCTCACTGCCGTGGCCTCTCCCGCCGTGGAGCACAGGCTCCAGATGCGCAGGCTCAGCGGCCATGGCTCACGGGCCCAGCCGCTCCGCGGCATGTGGGATCCTCCTGGACTGGGGCACGAACCCTCATCGCCTGCATCAGCAGGCAGACTCTCAACCACTGCGCCACCAGGGAAGCCCCACATATATTTTTATATAGATACCCGATGCGGTAGACGGTGGTATTGTTCTCAGTTATTCCTGCCCTTCTTGGAGGAGGATTGTACTTTCATGTCCCACGTATTTCAGCCTTGCTTGTTGGACTTGTGTCAGCCAGTGACACCCATGCACAGTGTCATGTGCAGGTCGGGCAGAAGGCTTCAGGGGGACTATCAGGTGGTTCTGCCATTGCTCCCCCCAAAAAAAGAAAAAAAAAAACCGTGAGAAGGACGCATTCTGGAAGAACTGCTCCTTTAGTCTGAAGGCCAGAATAAAGACCTGCAACAGAGCTACAGTTGACCCAGTCATTGTGTAGCATGAACAAGAAATGCACCTTTCTTGTAGATTAGTGAGATTGTAGTACCACGTATTACTGTATCATATCCTAGTGAAAGCTGACCTGGACCGCTTGAACTTGTCTGATATTATGGATAGGACTCTGGTGTGTAGAACAAGTAGCTCATATGATTGGTATGTTTTATAGAATTTTGTCTTCATTAGGCTAATTGTTATGCTATGTAAGTTAAGCAGCTGAAAATAGTTGTACAAAAGTGTTCCAGGGGGACTTCCCTAGTGGCGCAGTGGTTAAGAATCCGCCTGCCCATGCAGGGGATTTGGGTTCGAGCCCTGGTCTCGGAAGATCCCACATGCTTCAGAGCAACTAAGCCCGTGCGCCACAACTACTGAGTCTGCGCTCTAGAGCCCGTGAGACATGGCTATGAGCCCACGTGCCACAACTACTGAAGCCCACGCACCTAGAGCCCGTGTTCCACAAGGGAAGTCACCGCAATGAGAAGCCCGTGCACTGCAAGGAAGAGTAGCCCCCGCTCGCCGCAACTAGAGAAAGCCTGCGCTCAGCAACGGAGACCCAACGCAGCCAAAATAAATAAATAAATTTATAAGAAAAAGAAAGTGTTCTAGGAATCCAAGCAGTTATTAAAGTCAGAACTGAATTGCTCACTTTAGAATTTCTATTGACTCATACAACAAGGGGATTACAAGGTGGGAAAGCCTTTTCCAAATTAGGCGATGCAGCCCAGTGCGGCCCGTTCTGAGGTTTTAAATGATGCTCCTTTCTGAGCACTAACGCTCCAGAGACCGTGATTCTGCTTGAACAGGGTAATAGGGATAAATAGGAGAACTGCTCATTAAACTGAGAAGCTGGAAGAACTAGGTTTATGTCACACTTAGTGTGTGCTTTTTCCTTGAAGAATGAGAGTGGTGCCTTTGGGACTCCCTGGTGTATTCTTTACAACTTAGTCACTGAAATTAGTATTTCTGTGACACATGCTGGTATCTTGATGTAAATAGAAAGGAAACATGACATTCCTCTTGTCTCAGTCAGAATGGTGGCCCATCTATTCCAGGATTGTTTTCTGCAAGGCGGCAAGGCTCATGGCATCATTAAATCCTAAAAATGGGCTGTGTGGCAGTCTGCCACCAGAAAAGTGTCTAAAACTATGTTAAATCCATTTTATTTTTAATATGTACCACTGGGGAAAATGAATTCCATAATTCTACCAGCCTCTGTGAAGTTTTAAAATAAGTCTGTTTCATTGAAATTCTCTGGTTTGGCTTGTATGATATTAATCATTTCTGGGTTTTCTCCTAACTTCTGTTTGCTGTATTATTATAAAAGCAACTTAAATACAGAAATTTGTTAACAACTTGACATATTTCCTTTCACTCTTTCAGTCCTTTGTTCATGTTTAACTTCCTACCTAAACAGTATTCATTTAACTTTCTACCTAAACAGTATTCATTCATCTTCACAAATACAGACACACTCTCAAATTACCTTATTGGCATTATACAATGAAAGCAATTTTGTATCACTCTTTCATACTTGATATGGTGTAGCAAACACTTTCTCTTATTTACTTTTTTTCCCCTCCTGTTTACTCTTAAAGATCATGTAACAGTCCACTGCAGGACTACTACACTGTATTATATTTAGCCGTGCTACCATTATCGAATATTTAGATTATTTCCCCTTTATATGTTGCAACGTATTCTACATTGACCATTTTGGTTTATAAATCTTTGCGTCTCTAATTACTTCCCTAGAATTAAAAGAGTAGAATTACTAGGTTGATGATGTAATATTTTTGGAGACTCTTGATACCTATTGTAAAATTGCTTTCAGAAATATTTCATTGTTTTTCATTAGTAATAGCAGTGTTGACATGTCTACACACTCCTTCCTTCCCAATCAGATGGGGTAAGACTAGTGACTTGTAGTTATTTAAATTTGTGTTTTAAAAATATTAATGCTTAAACATTTTTTCTTTATTCCAGACCATTTCTTTTCTTTCTGTGAATTTCAAATTTTTTTGTCCATTTTTCTTTTGCATTGTTACTGTTTTCTTGAATTTCCAGGTCTCTTTGTATATTAAAGACACTATCTGTTTTACTTATGGCATTATCTTCGGTTTTA